TGCCTGGGATGTTCACGGCTCCACACGCAGGCAGGCAGTCACTGAGCCAGACCAGGGCCACTCAAACTGGCCTTACCTGGGCTGATAAATCCCTCCTCCCACCCTTTGGCCTCCCACAGTGAGGAAGCTCACCACAGGAGCTTTGCAACTCTCTGCCTGGGAAAAGGTTCCAATTCCAGCGTGCTGCTGCTGCCTTCACTGGGCACCCACCAAACTGGAAGGTGCTGGATGAGGGCAGCAGGGATTGCTGGGGGGTGGAAAGGAAAAAAAAATAAATAAACTGGTGCTTTCAGGATGATAGTGCAGTCAGGAAGTGGTTTAAGAAAGAGCGTTGAAGTTCAAGGTGAGAACATGGCACCAGATTTCCTCCAGTGCTGTTAATTACACTGGTTCTGGAGCATGACGATGTATTCCTGGTACAGAGCTACCACTTCCTGCTCCTGCTAAAGACTCTCACACAGAGCAGAAGGGAAGGCAAATGTTAAAAATCCAACAAACAAATCATGAAAATGAGAACAAATCCCAGCTCTGAAAGGCTTCAGGAAGTGCTGTTCTGTAAGCAACACCACGAAGCCACTGGGGGACTACAGCAGCAAAGGCAATAAAAGAGATGGATTCCTCTTCCTGCTCTGTGCAGGGAGCCAATGGCTCCCAAATATTGTGCCTGGAAGCACAGCCTTTGGAAGCATCCAGACATGAGCTGTGGTGCCTCCAGCTTCAGACAAAATTCCAGTATTTTGACGGAAACCCCCTGGGGAATGGGTGCTCAGCAACATTCTGTTGTACTGGGGCTGTACAACAAAGCCAGTGGCAAAGCCCTGCCTGATTTCAAGGCACACATGAGCTCAGCCTGAAAGGTCTAAATCCCAGCTGCTCTGTGAGTGCCTGCAGGGAGGATGACTGGGCCCGTGCTGGCAGCTGCCATCACCCTCAGCATCAGCTCTTGAAGAGACAATCAGAAGCACACCCAGTTCCTCCAGCAGGGCGTTGCAATGACTGTGCCGCAGACGTGAACATCCCCAAACCACAGACTGAATGAGCTGTCGAAGGGGAATTTCCTCCCCCTTCAGCCTGAACTCTCTTTTACTTCTGTTAATGGTTCCACACGAAGGAATCCAGATGTTAAAAACAGCAGTCAGGCCAAAAAGCTGGCCCGTGTGACACTTCCCCTCTGTCCTGGCTGGCTGGGCTGGGAAGGAGCAAGGACCCAGCTGAGCAACAGATTGCATTGGCTGAACAACTGCCAGCAGCCACAGCAACTCAGCAGCCAGAAAGAAAAATCCCACCTGGAGCAAGCCAGAATAATTGTTGGTTAAGAAAAAAATAGACTGAGCAAACATTGCAGCCCTTCGTGGCTCTGAAAATCAACATCAAATTTTTTAAAAGGTAGTAAAAGGTGTGCTGGGAAAGGGGATTTGTAAAATGGTACCTTGGTCACCACAGGGGAGTGGCACCCACGCTGAGCCAGGGAGGATCTCATGCCATAGATGATTCTGCAGAGCCCAGTTTCATTTAGTAACACACAAATAGGTCAGCCTGCAGTGGAACAGGACCTGAATGTCCCCTGGTGAGGCTGGTTGGTGGCTCTTAGCCACCAGCCCCCACCAAAAGCCCTCCTGGTTGGGGCAGTTGTGCTCAGCTGGGCTGATTTGTACATGGCTTTGAGGTCTCCAGCCCTGATTTGGATGGAAATGGTTCACCTGCTGCCACCCCTGCCCTGGCAGCCTGCTGGCCATGGAGCAGAGGGCCTGAGACAGTCATTCTTTAAATGCAGAAGTAATTTGGCAGCTGGGCTTATGGCAAATGATCCTAATGAAAAGCAGCTGTCTCATGCCTGTAAATAGGATTGTCTATGCAGCATTTCGTTCTAATAGAGTAAAATCAGAAGATAGGAATTTTATATAGAAGAGTTGCAGTCTCTAAGCTCTACTGACAGGCCAACACCATGGCTTAGAGCAGGAGGGTTTAGGGACTGTCAAAAAAACCTCAGCACAGAGAAGTCAGGCTACCTCAAACAGCTTTTAATGCCCTCCTCTGCTTCCAGCCACTCTGTGAAACCCTCTAGCAAAAGACAGACTTTATATCACCCAAACCTCTCCAATCCCAACCTTCCCTTGATCTCCCAGGCTGGTTTCTCTGCCAGGCCCTCGTTGGCCTCCCCAGGCTCCTGCTGGTGGCTCATCCCCAGCTGGGTTTGTGCTGAATGACCACAGAGAAAGCCAGCTTGACCTTCCTCGCTGAGCAGGCACTGATCCAGATGACAGCCTGTCTGTGACAACAAGTGACTGGAAGCTGGGGGTGTCTGCTGGACTCTGCTGGAGGACACCAGGAGGGTGAAGGGTCTGGAGGAGAAGCCATGTGAGGAGCAGCTCTGAGGCCACTTGGTCTGATCAGGCTGGACAAGAGGAGACTGAGGGGAAACCTCAGTGGGGTCTTCAGCATCCTCTCTGGGGGCAGCACTCTCAAGCCAGTGACAGTGATCCTGAAATCCACCAAAAAATAAAATTTCCAACACAATTGGAAGCATTAGAAAGCTGGCATCCTTTACCAGCACAGGACACACAGGAGGATGTCTCCTTCAATCTGAGGGGTGTGGTGAGACTTTGCAACAGGGTTTTTATTCCATCATAATCATACATATTCATTACAATGTGCCTCCTAGCTTATACATAAACATCACTTTTCCTAGAACTAATTTGCATGCATCAGTCGCCTGCTGGAAGGCCTTTTATGGTCCTGGAGGGTCATCTAAAGGGGTCTCTGGTGGTTGTACTCACTGAATCCTTCAATATTACAGTTGGCCTTTTGTTCAACTTTTTTTTTTTGGGCATGCAATGTTGCTTCTTGTTACATAACTTGCCAAAAACCCACTACAGACTGATTTTCTGTTTCTCCACACATAAATTTCCAGCTACATTTATCATCCTGAGTGCATGCCTTTACATTCTTTCATCTGTTCTGCTAGTTAGTCTTTTGGCTCTGCCCAGCAACTTCGGGGGAGCTGAAACTTTCTATTCGCTGTTATTTATCAACAGGACTCGAGGAAATGGTCTGAAGCTGAGCCAGGGGAGGTTTCGTTTGGTATCAGGAAAATCCAGTGCCTGCTGTATGCAAAAAAGCCCATAAGTTTTTCCTGTGCTTCTGGCTCACTCCTGTTGAAAACCCTCATTTGCTTTTCCAGGCTGCTCTTGATTCTATAGCTCTCTCTCAGGCCTTTCCTCAGTCATTCCTTCCCAAATCCAGGGCTCACACCTCACACAGACTGAAGCTGCCACGTGTGGCTCCCTGGGGTCTCCTTCTGCACCTTTTGCAGTTCACCTCTGTCCTTTTGGGATGAGCAAACCCAAACTGTGTGCATATTGAAAATATGGATGGGCTGTGGATTTACTCAATGTCAGCCCAGTAAGATATGACACAGCTGCTAGGAGCACTTGGAGCTCTTCTAACTCTTTATCCTTCTTCTTGAATACCAAACTGTTTTCCTCCAAGTGTATGTTTATAAAGATTTTCAGATCTTAACATGAACAAAAATTCCCTGGAGCTGAGGCTGCTGAGTATATATCATTGTAAAAGGCAAATTCCAGACCTTGGGATATTCAGAACAGACCAAAATAAAAGGAAAAGAAACTCGAGAGGAATTTAAAAAGAAGTAGGTGGGAGGGTTGTTTAATGTAATGTTAAAGCAGCACCAGTTTATTCAAGCAGATGCCAGGTGACTAAATGAAAGGCTGGTTGTTTTCTTCTGCAATTTGTGCCCTTTCCTTTCACAGATCTCCCTTCTGGGGATAGAAACAATAACATCAGCTCTGGAGCACCATGTTTATCTGCTCACTCTCACAGAACAACACCCACACGGGTGATCTGGAGTCTGTTTAGGCCCCCAGAGATATGCAAGGTGTAAATATGCATCTGGAAATAAACTATCCACTGGTTTTTCAAAACCACTCTGCCTCACTTGAAATCACGGGCAAGATACAGACAGAAGGGGGAAAAAAACTCTCTAAAATATATCTGTGCACTAGATACAGGCAAGTGAAGGGCATCATTTACCACTTCAGCTGCTCCACACGAGGCTGGGCTTGGCACCATTCCTGCCCAGACCATTCCTGCTGGGCTGGATTGCTGGGGAAGGGCACAGCTGCTGGATCTGGACTCATGCTGCCCTCGAACACCTTCTCCCAGGCTGGTGAAACTGGGAGAGGTGGTGACTTTATCACCTGGGCTTCTCCTGTTTGCTGCAGTGCTCTGGGACACTGCCCTGCACATTCACCAGTTAGGAAGGTGTGGAGTGACTCTCCTGGATTGTGCAGGAGCCTCCTCTCCAGACAGACATCATCCACAGGATGCAATACAAAGATGGATCTGCTCTAGCAGGCTTCCCACTCAGCAAATGTGGCTAAAGGGTTTCCTGAGCAGAGCTGTGCTGAGAGTCTCCCTATCCTCATCTGACCTTGGCAATCTCCTACAGAGATCAGTTCATCCACATCCTGTTTGGATGAGGGACAACAGAGTGTCACTGGATTCAACCACAGCCTTCTCCAGGGAGAGGTTAAACTGCAGCAACTCCCCTTGCTTCTCCAGGCAGGAGGCACAGAGAGTTACACAACACAAAATAAAGAGGGAAATAATCCCACCCAATGCCCTTGTTCTTTGAAGTCACATGAGGCAAAGGACTGAATCATAGACACAGGGAATGAAGGACTCTTATAATTATTAAGTGCCATTAAAAATTCCAGTGCAAAACTCATCTGTGCAATTAGGTCAGTATCAATTACCCCGATAGAATGATTCAGGTCTCTCCCGCATTAAACACCAGCTACATACAACAAACATCCTCAAGGAGGGAAAATCCAGAACGGACCAGCTGGGAACAAGCAAAAATCAATCTGGGAAAGGATGTCACACTCTTAACCACCCACACAGAGCAGGAGGTCCACATCCTCTCCTAAAACACACTCAGAGTATGGAAAAAGCACAGACAAGCAAGAAAGGACCCTCACATGTGCTGGAAGTGCCTGGGAAGTGGAATAAGGGACCAGGCCTCATCTGAGATTCAGTGCATTGGGTCTGTGCCAGTTCCTCCTCCCAAGACACAGGCACATATCTCACTTCACTTTCCAGCAGACAGCTGCAACTCCATCACACAGGACGGCTCAGGCAACACAGAGGAGAGCTGAGAAATATAACAAATTATGGCATAAGCAAATGCTATTTCAGTGTAGCAAATTGAAGGATGTTGGTTCCAAACTCAGATCAAACATGAATATTCTTGAAAAGCTTTGAGATTCTTCAATTAGAGGTCCAAACACAACCCCTCCATAATGCCCCGACTGTGGCATTCACTTTCTGGCAGATCTGAACCCAATTTTTTCACATTTAATATTATTCCACTTATAACTAAAATGGTTCATCTTGCTTTCCTGTGAGGAAGAAAGCACAGGAATTAGAAATTAGAAAGCTGGAGAAGAATAAATGGATTATCAGCATTGAATAAGAACTGCTGACATGTATCACATGAAGATACACTTCATGGAGGGAAAAAAAAGCCCAGTTCAATGCATATATAACCACTGACTACCTATAAACCTTCAATTTTTCCTGTCATACTTTGTTACTAAAAGATCACCAGGGCATCAGGTTTAAGTTGTATCACTGATGGCTGTACCAGCAACACCCTCTGGGGATGGTCCAGTCCAAAAAGGTACTGATGATATTCCCAGTGTTCACTCAAATTGTATCCAGGGAGGAGGCAGCTGACTGACAATCTTCTTATTCTTGGAGCACTGGATGCTGGATGTTCATACAGCACAGGATTTGTTGTACAGCTCTTTGCCACGGAAGGAAAAACAAACAAAACGAAACAAAACAAAACAAAAAAAAAAAAAGAAAAAAAACCACACACACACACAAAAAAAAAAGACACACAAATTCCTGTCAGATAATTTTGCTGCTTGTCACCAACCCCTGTGGCCTAGAAGCATCTTCTAATGATTAAAGGCTCTCATGAGCTACCAGAAGTGTTTTGTTCTTCCTCTGAGGGGCTGGAGGGCCGATGGAGCCCTGGGTAGGTCCAGCTCTTCCTCGAGCACACATTAGAACAATCCAGGTTGTATTTTTATGGAGAGGAGATGACAGCTCTAAGAACAAATTCCCAGACCAGCTCTAAGAAGGAACCTCTCTGCAAACTGAAGGGCACAAACAAAGCTCACCTCTCTTGAAAGTCATCCAGTTTCCAGGTATCACAGAGCATGGCTTATGTTTCAGCTTTCCTGACAGGGATACTCTCCATTATCTTCTGCTAAGCATCATTACTGCTGGCACTGTATCAAAGTCATGTAGGACAGGCCTAAGAAAAACAATTCACTTGGCCTCTCTGGCATTTACGTTCTCATAAACAAAGTGGTCAACAAGTAACAAGATGATGAAACTTTTAGGTCTCTTGGGCAGCAGCCAAACCTACAGCTGAAGCAGAAGTCTGTTTCCCAACACATTAGAAAGATTGAAAGGAAAGGAAAATGAGACAATTTCATTTGGGTTTTTGTCTTAAAGTTTCTCCTACTTCCCACTGTGACTAAATAAGATATCCACCAAAGTGAAAGTTCATTTTTTTAGTTCATCTCAGCCTAGTATTTCCTACCCTGGCAAGATTTGGTAACATCTGTAGTGGGGATTTCTTCCCACCCACTGCTCTCCCCATCTCATTTGTTTCTCTAAAAGAATTTGTATATGTTTGAATATGGGACGATAAGAAATGCAAACTATTATGCAAATTTTGGAAAAGAAGAAAAGCACAAGGGGTCTCTAGGGACATAAACACGCTTCTGTTTTCTTCAATATTGCTGAAGAATAATTCAAATCTCAGTAAAATTTTGCTCTATAGCAGGCTCACAGCTGAGCTTTCAGGTCTGATCTGCTAAAGACAGGTGAGAGCTTCCTCACTTGGCCAAGCAGTTCTATGGACTGAGCATAAATCACACAACTATTTCCAACTCTACCACAACCTAATGCTACAGGATACCAGGAAGGCAAGACCACAAAATATTAAAAACCAGAATGATCCTACAGGTAAGAAGACAGTGAAGAAGTGGCTTGAAGGATGATGTTTTGATGTGGCTTGATGGCTGAAGTCACAACTCAAATGTATTGTACAAATGAAAGGTTTGTGTTCTTAAATCTTGTGACTTCCTTTCAGCAGGGCTTTCAAATACTCATCACACACAGGCAGTCTGGCTGATCTGTCAGCACAGTGTGGATGTAATGTCCCCAGAAAAAGGCAAAATTTGTGCTGTCACAAAACATTGACTTTTCTGGAAGAGGGGGAGTATCAGTGATAGGAGTAGTGGGGAAAAAACATGACACATTTAGGACAAATGAGGAAACACAAATGAATCATCTTTGCAGAATTCAGCCAAAATTTATCCAGAGGGATGGAGGAAGAGGGGAAAAGGACACAAAAATACAGCCACAGCAAATACTAAGCTGCAGCTCTGGTCTTAAAAATCTAACAGGGGATGTCTGGGGATTATTTCTAATCCCTGTAGAAACTCTCTCCAAATCTGTCCAGAGCAGTTTTGTTTAAAGAAATTACAATGGCAGTGGCAGTAGAAAAGCCAAGTCCAAAATCAGAAAGTTTACAGCTTGTTTAGCAGCCCAGCGTTGTTCCTCCATTTACTCCCCTGTTTGAAACAGTTTGAAATCAAGCTCTGATAGAGGTGACTTTGTAAATTTTTTTACAAAAAAAAATTTGGTAAAAATTTTTACTGGAGAGGCAAGCACAGTGTCCACCGAGAGATGAGAGAGATGAGGGGACAGAGGGAACAAAAACATATGACAAGGCAGGAAAGATGGATTCATTTAGATGGAGAGCTTAGCAGGAAAGACTGGAGATGACACGGGTTGAACACACAGAGGTAAATCAATGAGTCCAGAAGCTAGGAGAGTGATTGGAATTCTCTTCATCTAAAATTTGAAATTGTCATATTTGTCTCAATGCATTTCTGACAGGAAACTCACTGTGCATTCATCTAAAGCACATAACTCATGTCTGAAGTCTTTAGGCTTGAAGGCAGCTTGAAAAAATATATATATAACTGCAATAACATGAAATTACAGAAAATGGAGCAAAATTTGAGGTCACAGAGATTTGTTCCATACCTACACAGATGTTAACAGAGCCTGAAGTGATGACTGACACACCAAGACCAACTTAAGCCCAGCTCACCTGGTTCAGTCAGGTGTTATTAGGCAGGGTACAAATGTTTTCACTGACAAATGGAAATGGACTCTATCTTTTGAAAAGGCTGGCCTGCAAAGCCCACAAGGTGCTGCTCAGCCACCCCTCAGCAGAATCCAGCCAGAGCTGGATTTCTAAGTAGTGTTTAAACACTACTTAGAACAGGCCGGGCCAATACAAATATAAATTGTGATTAGCAATCAAATACCTGGTCTGAGCACAACAGAAAAACTGACCTGCTCAGTATTTCATCACTCCTGACATTTTGAAAATTTGCTTCCAGAACTGCAGTTTACTTTAATTCTCACTCCCACTCCTGTTCTCACCTTCATCCAGCAAGGAGGGGGACAACAGCTTTAAAAAGTTAGAGGAAGAGAAAGGAGAGAATTTGAAGTGTTTGTGCTCGGGCTGATTGACAGACATTGCTCCATTCAGAACCACCTCCATGATTTCTGCTGATGAAAGGGATCCATTAAGCAGCTCTCCCTGCCCTATTTGCTTGCTAAGTTGGTTTCATGACTATTCTGAGAAGGAAATAGTTCAGTGCAGACGTGAACTCATTTGGATTGGTGCCCTCAAGCAAACGCAACTCGAGTGGAAATCTTACACATATGAGGTGCAATAAGGCAGAAGGGAAAGGAGGCCAAATTTCAGGGGGTGAATGCTGACTGTGGGCTAGATGAGAACAGCAGCACCAGATAAGAGCTGGATTGCTCACTTTGCATGACAAAGCCCCAAATTCAGCATTACCTGCATGAGGATCCTTGCTGACTTGCATACCCAATGCAAACCTTCCAGTGAATTCTAATGGGCCTCTTTCTTGTACTTGCCAGCCAAAACCCTTTTTGAAGTTTGGCTTTCAGTGCTCCCAACATTGAAAAGCAGAAAAGGGCTGCCAGGAATTCTCTTATCACCAGCCCTCTCAAGTGCTACATTTCACTCAAGCCTACATAACAAAACTGGGTAGGGGAGGAAGAGAAGGGATCCAAGTGTAAAATGCAGTAGGGCCAAGGAACCAACTGGCAGAAAACAGGGACTCCATCCTCTGGAAGATAAACCTTATAATTTGTGCATTAATTACAGCTCATTTACCTTCCTTATCCTGTATTTTCTCCTCCCAGTTGGATTTTGAAGCAAAGGCCTGAGCCTTTATACAAACAAGCTAATGGATTCTAATGGCTCACCCTGATGCAGCATTTCTTAATCACAGCAGCACTTCATTTTCCCTGCTGTATTGGGGAAGAAAAAAGAACAAAGACTGCATCCACATTCAGCTGTCTCAACCAAACACATCTTCTTTCAGTTTCCTAATTCCATTCCTTCTATTGTAGTCAAACTTTCTCATGCCTTCATCTTAGTAGACTCCTTCCCTTTAATTTAAGAAAAAATACAACAGAAATTTAAGTATTTAACAGCATTTAAGAAAAATATAGTAGAATGCAGCAGTTACAGGTTGTTGCACATACTTTTTTAAGACTTTTCACCTTCTGGGTCCCAGCTGTCCCCAGATCTCATTCCCATCGTGCTTTCAGATGCATTCTGTTCTTCTATCTCTATTATTTATTTCCCTTACTCTTCACACACTCCCAATTACTTGCCAAGACAATTCTTTCTCCGTGGGAGTGGACCAGGCACAGCCACCAGTGCTCCTCCACACCTGGAGTAAACAGAAGTGGTCTGTCAGATTTCTCCCCCAGCACCTTTTGTATATTTGGCCCCCCAGAATCACCCCTCAGCCTTGTCCTGTGCCCTTTCTCCTGTCCCTTCAGAGGGTGGGGAAATGCTTTCTCACAGCATTTCTCCTCCCCAGGTGCCACTCAGCCTGTTTTTCCTTATTATCAGGTGTGTCCCACGCAAGAGACCTGGTTTTTACCTCATGGTTGCCAGGAAAGGTATAAATTAAATAATTAATGCTGGCACTCCACCAATCACACCCGTTTCACTTAACATCACATGTGCACTCCACCCTATCTTACTCACACGATTTAATTCTTGGGCTCTTTTCCTGTCCCTCTTTTTGCTGCAATCCTCCTGTTTGTGTTTGATCCTCCCATAGACCTCAGCAGTTTGTTCCGTGCTCACTTGTCTCTGCCTCTCTACTCTCCTTTTCATCTCAGCCTCACCTTTTCTCTCTCCCCGTTCTTCCTTCCCCCACACCAAGAGTCTCAACACTACATCTCTCCTTGCATCTCTCACCATCAGCATAACTTATTTTCTTTCACCTGGCCCATATCTTGAGGAAAATCCCATGAATATTTAAAGAAACAGGGTAGGAAGCAACCCATGTAAAACCTGCAGCTCTTTCAGAAAGGTGTCGCTTCCCATGAGGAATGACAAAGCACAAGGGTCAAACCTCACAGCACAACACCAGATGCTCAGCCTGTCTTTTATCCATGCTGGGGTTAACATGATCATCTACAGATCAAAGAGGTGGAAGACCAGAACACCTCACCTCTCTCTGGCCAAATAAAGCACCCCATCTGTTCCAGGTAAATGAAGGAAAAAGAATGCAGGTGAAAAAGCAAAAAAGAGCTGCTGCTGCCAAGTTGTTTCAATCAAAAATTCAAGTGCCAGCCATTCAATCCACTCCTTGACTCCTTTCAATTGCACCAGCAATGGTATTGTACAGATAATTATTTCTGTACATACTGTTTGTCCTAAGGCACTTAATGTTGCCTTTGCTTTCACCAGAGTTGTCCATCTATTCCAGCATCTAATAAATACAGGTACAGCTGTGACATTTTCTTGATAGTCTGTTACACAAGCCTACAGAAATCTGTCAAATAAAACCTTTTGTTTCTGAACCTCTGAAATGTAGAGTGCAACTGCTCTACAAGTCAACATGAAGCACTACCAGAAATATTTAAATCACATTTTATTTTTCAAATTCAAAAATAACAATTAGCTTTATTTACCACGTTACACATCTCAGATTTAAAATATCATGCTCTATTTAAATATCCGAGTGACAACACTATACAAATAAAATGTTACACAAAATATATTTAAGAAAATGTTTTGGTCTTCAGTCTGAACAATAAATAGACAGGCACTTCTACATATACAAAGAAAGCAACCACTATTTAGAGTAATTCTTATAAGCAAGATGTGGAAATAGAGAAGGTCTGAGTTTCGAGGACACATGTAACTCTACATGAGGCTTCATGCAAACTTCCAAGTTTGGTTCAGAATTCGAAACTCTTGGGATGTGCACAATTCTGGATTCGCCGGCGCTTTCCAGCAGACCCAAAGCGTGCTCTCAAGAAGCAATGTGCAATTAAGTCATTTCCAGCAAATCAAGCTACCTGATCACATTTAGTGCCCAAACAGAAAACAAGGATTGACCAGAATAGCTTCCCACACAAATATCATGAGCAACAGGTCAGCTTCAGTATGTAAGCTTAGGGCTGCCCCTGCCTCACCTGCCCAGCCCCAAAAAAACCTCATCTTTTTCCTTACACACTGAGCTCTTAGGGGGCATTTCAAGCAGAATTATGCCTTTTTTTTTTTAAAAAAATACTTCATCTAGTAAAAGGGTAAATCCTTCAGACACATACATTTTGCACAAAGGACTGTAAGTGAAGGGAAAAAAATACTGTTCCAGGGTGCAAAAGAACTGAAAACTGTAAATAAAATTTTAAAAAACCGAAATTTAAAGTCTTGTAACTGTATCATACCTAGAAGTAAAACTATATTCCCCCAATTTGTGTATTTTCAATTTACAGTGGTTTCCACACACAAACACCACTCAAGGGAAAATTATTTTCCACCATCACAATTGATGCAAGATGCATTGTGGTAGGCAATCCCTGTTTCCAGTACAGCTAACCAGTCACTGACAGCTAGTTATAGCCTCAAAGTCTTTTAAAATTAAGACCAATATTGAAACAACAACCACCAGGACCACCAGTGGACAAGTCAGGACCGAGTCTTCAAGCCATCCCTTCAAACTTTAGTATTACTCTTGATTTCAGAAGTACAGGAAAAAGTTTACAGCAAAAATTCAACTATTAAACAGAGCTTCAGTGATCCAAACTTGCAAAGTATTTTAGACTTAAGACACTTATGCACATTACTTTAACAATTTAAATGTGGGTCTTGCAAGCGTGTCCAAATCTTAATCATTTCTTGAGGTTTTCTACTATGCACTAACATTAAGTTTGTGTAGGAACAGATGTTATTTCTGTATTTCTCTTCGATATCAAATGTTTTGAAACCTTTGTGTTTTTCCGGAGCAAGCCCAAGCTTCTGAAGGCACATTCCAGTATAAACATCATCAATAGGGTAGAGGAGTACCTGGTCAGATGCATTGTTCAGTCTTAGTGCCAGATCACCAGAGTACAGGAACCCACCGCCTCCTGCGTACGGGGGATACGAACCTTCATACACACTTTCTGGGATGTAGTACTTCAATTTTTTCTCTCTGTGAGGCCCAGCATCTTTGATCACATCACCTATAAATAAGTCTTTGGCTTTTTCCTTTGATAAGCTCTTCAAGTAATCCAGGATCTGATTGGTATTCACAAAAACATCATCATCACCCTTAAAAATAAACTGGACATTTGCGCAGCTACTGCTGACCCACTTCAGAAACAGCACCTCTTTCAGAGTCAGATTGAAGAAAGTGTCTCTGTAGTTCCAGAGGAGAATGTCTCGGTGGGTGTCACTCTCAAATTTAATCATGTGTGAAAGGTCAGGAAAATGATCCTCTGGTGGGGTCTGCCCAAGTAAGAAGACCCTTCTGACTATCACATCCCCTGATTCTATTTCCTTGCCCCAGGATTCCCTAATTGCTTGTCTTCTATCAAAATGGGGTATAAGTGACTTAATAGCCAGCAGCAGGAAAGGTTTCTGTTCACACTTGTTTGGCTGATCCATTAGCAATGTGTAATTTCTACACCTCAAATAGAGGAGGAAGTCCTTGAATCTGTCTGGCAAGTTTGCAAAGTCACTAACCTCTGAGTGCACCAAGGGGTCAGGGTCACAGGAACTGAGGGCACTCAGGTTAGAAACCAAGTTCTCTTCCACAGTCATATTGGAAAGCAAGGACAGAATAGGGTTGTACAGCAGCTCGAGCTTCTGTTGCTGTTTGTTCCAATAAGCTTTGTGAGGAGTGTATTTCCTCCAGAATTTGCTACGTGGTATAACAACACGGCCTTTTGCATTCTTGTCTTGGCTGCCGCTCTTGGAGACTTCCACAATCACATAAATAAAAATGTTTACCATCATCAGAATTCCCAGCAGCTTTAATCTTCTGCGTCCAACACTCATTTCTCATATCTAGAAATAAATTTTAAAAAAAGATTTTTAGCTTTCTTCACAGCAAATTCTTGATATCATTAAAAATGCAAACTACTTTCAAATGCAAGTTAGTAGCCCAAAAACCAAAGTTACCTACACCCCCAAAGAAGCAAAAGCTAATCTGTCTCTAACACACACACATATGGTTTGGGGTTTTATCACCAAGCTGGTACAAATGTGAAGTTTCCATCTGCAGCTTAGGAAAGTTACACAGCTTTTCATGGTGAGTCTAAATTAGCCAGCAGTTTCTGCTTCTCATTTAGATCCCCTTTAAACACTTGACTGTATAATAATTAGAATCTGAGCCCTCAGCTTGGCAAAGGCAGACTGAGAAACTTTTTTTTTCCTGCTAGTAAGGTGAGCTGAAGGGTATAGAATAAATTGCTATATGATAAGGTCAGTTATTTTTAAATTAGGTTTCAAGCTTTTATACTTGCACTCTCACACCTCCCAACTACGTAAGAGGCAGAGCCAAGTTTTAAAGCACACAATCAGTTTCTGACAATTTCACTTGGCTGTTCCTTGGAAGAAAGGCTAACAAAACTTGCCAGCTGCATTGCTGATATTCAGATAGAAGAGAACAAGAACTTGGAATTTTTTTCCCTTCCAACTGGAAAAAAAGGAATTCAAACAGTAAATGAAAGCAGAAGTGTAATTATTACTAGGAAGGAAAAGACCTGAAAAGAAATTTAAAAAGGAGAGGTCTCCCATATATGCAAGACTTGGAACAGTATCTGTACATCTTTGTCATACAAGAAGTTTCGTGATCCATCTTCAGTTTTTACTAGGGGAGAAAATTGATCAATTCCTCTTTCTTCAGAATGCAGGTACAAGGTATACAGTACAAGGAGCAACATGAAAACAGTGTGTTCCTCTAGAGCAGTGCTTACCAAACTAGCCCTGGGGTATATCAATGTACAAGCTCCACAAATAATTCAGAATTAATAAGAAGGTTACAAAGACTATGCTGAAGTCACATACAGAACTCACTGCCAAAGACATTTTCATGTGCCAGGAATATAAATGGTTATTGGAAGATCAGAAAAACTTAATGTAATAAAGAATTTGTACTGACTGTTGGAAGCCCAGCTGTGAGCACTGCCTCAGGTCCTGAGGTTACAGAACAGCAGCAGACAGGGAGGCAGACTGAGAAGTACACCTTGTACTTGCTGCTGTTTCCTTTTTTTCAGCCATCCCCAGACACCTGAGCTACACTGACCCTTGGTCTCTTATGGTTTCATCACTCTTACTTTGTTTTACTCCTCAACAAGTTAAACACTAAACTTCCAAAAATTTAGGAAGAAAGCAGAAACTAAATAATCATCAATCTTTTTTCTCTTTTGACCCATAACCATTATTAAATCCAAAAGGGGGGTGTGTGGGTGTTTTTCTGGAACTGAAATCCAAAGCCACCCCTAGAAAACACGGCCTCTCAGAAAAATGCCTGTGCTTCCTCAACTACCATCTGCATATGTATCTGTGTATAGGCTCAGGCCAGATCTACTTTATTTCATATTCTACTCTCAGTCAGCTATGAAGTTTATGTTCTAATTTTAAAGTAGTTTTCTTCTATGCCTCAAAGACAAAACCATGCTTGTGGTCAGTGCCATCATTTAAGATAAACAGCTGAACTGTTCAGAAAGCACTGGGTTTGGTCACATAGACTTCTAAGAAATTTTATCCTCCTCTTTCACTGCCACTAAAAACAGATAAATACTCTGGTTTTCTACTTTTATCTTTCACTAGACACAAAAATACTGAAGAAGGAGCAGTCCCCTGTTTTTTGCTGTTCCACAGAGCTCGGCATGAACATCAGGGCTTACCTGCCCTGTCCTCAACAGCACTTCCCACTAAGCAACAAATGAGGTGGTATCTGACCTATGATCCCGGGACCCCAGAGACAACAGGGTGACTGCTCCCTCCTAGGAACAGCCAACAAACACAGGATTGTCAAGAGCTCAATCAAAGCTTGACTTTTCAGGATATGCAGCACCACACAGCTGATTCGTCACAGCCCCCAGCTCACCAAGCTGAGAGTATTCAACACCTCTAAGGCATCTGGATACTTGACCTGAGACTCTTCTGACACAATGTGACACCATTTGCAAAGACTTTATTTCAAACACTTAAGAAAAATCCTTCAGCCCACTATGACTGCAATCCCCTGGAGCAAACGAGACAGAGATCGTGAGCAGAAAAATCCCTCTTTACTGTTGGACTTGGTAGAGCTTTTCAGCAGAAAAGGTACAAGTCTGGCGAGGTGACAGTGGTTCCATCTCACAAAGCACAGTAAATGGTATCACCACCACGAGCAAATACTCACAGCCCCTGTCCTGTGCCAGGCTGTGGATCCACAAGCAGCTGAACCAATCTAATCATCTGATCTAAAAGCCAAGGTAAAACACCCAATTTTCCCACCTCCTTGGAGTCTGACAGAAGCCATGGCCTTTCACTGTAAATATCTTTCTGAGGGCAGGAGTTAGGCTGTATTTTCTAAGTGGGCTGAGTACCACATCTACATTATCTGACTGCCAAACCCAAGCATTACAAGCCCATTTACTTACTGGGGCTGACAAAAGGTGATACCTGCAGGTATCACACCTACCACCCTAGTGGTCAGGACTAAACTATCAGAAATGTGGGCTGAGTACCACATCTACATTATCTGACTGCCAAACCCAAGCATTACAAGCCCATTTACTTACTGGGGCTGACAAAAGATCAGATAATCCCTATGACCTGCAGGTATCACACCTACCACCCTACTGGTCAGGACTAAACTATCAGACACCTGGCAAAGCCAAGCTGCAATCAGGTATCTAACAGACATCACCACCCTTCTGTCTTTGCAGAGACTGTAACTGGTGCTAGGGCAGGCTTGGATGTTCCCGTATAACTTCAGTTTAGGGCCTGATATCCCTTACAGCAGCTGTACATGCAGCACCACTTCTGACAGCGCCAGCAACAGCACGTGCAGTAGTGACACTGCTGCTTCTGAAATGAACTGGTTTAGCGACTTAACACATCACAAGCCATACAGAGTCCTTCCAAGCCCCTGTGAGATGAATCAGTTGTCTAATAGCTCAGCTCTGTTCAGTGACTCAAGAGATTTCTGGACTGAGCAACAGCAGTTTTGGAGCGAGATGATGTTGAGAGCCCCGGGCTGTTGTAACAACACCGCGCTATTTCCAGCTTTAAAGAACTTGAACGCTGTTTATTTTCTAACTGCACACCGTCAAATCTCTTTTCCCTCCTGAGAATTTTACACAAATCCCCTTTCATATGACAGTAATTAAGAAAACCTTAAGAACAGGAGAATATTGAACAGATATCCGTGTTGTCCTTCTGCAGAAGCCCGGCTCACACAGTGGTTACCACTGGAAACAGTCAAGGTTTTCTGTGCTCTCCAACCAAGACAGCCTGAAACAATGTTCCAGCTGCAGGAAAGTAACCACGACAGCAACACGCTGCTCAAAGCAGGAACAATTGCCCTGAAATTCAGAGCAACCGATGTTTGTTTTAACATTACTTTTAATTATTTGCATATACCTGCTTTGAGACATCTTTGAGCATATTATTTAGCTTTGGGAGAAATTCAAATCTTCCAGTATTTTAATACCAAAGGACACCAGTGAAACTCAGGCATGGAATTTCAAGATTCAAGTAAATATAGCAAGACTAGGGAACGATGTGCATATGTTTTCCTAAAACACAGCCCAAGGCACAAAGAACTAAAAAGAGTTTGAATAAAGGCCAAAGTAACTTCACGTTCTGTCTCCCACTAGTTATCTTCAGCATATTTTTGCTCAAAAACCCCTCAAAAGCAACACCAAAGAATCCAACAACCCCACCAAACCCCCCACACACATCCAAGAGAACCAATGGTAGCGAGGCATTTGTCATGTAATGCTCCTCTGGTTTTCCGTAATAAGGTTTTAGAGGACCAGACTTGCATTTGAGCAATGTTTACTTATGTAATTGAACCTAGTCTTACTTTGTCCAACCATTTTTTCAATCTCTCTATATTTTCAGCTTCTGTGAATTATCCTGGTTCCTCAATTTTTCCCCACACCAAGAACTTGTAATGACTCACTATTCTATTACCACACAAGAGGGGA